CCAAATTAGTTGTACTATTTTACATTCCTACCAACAATGGTATGGAAGTTTCAGTTGCTCTTCATCTTTACAACATTGTTATTATCAGTTTTTTAATTCTAGTGGACGTGTAGTGGTATCTCATTGTGGTTTTAATTTGACTTTTGAGAGTGTCTAATGACAATGAGTATAAATTTTAATATGCCCATTGACCATTTGTATGTGTTCTTTCATGAAGCATCTGTTCAAATCTTTTGCTCATTTTTAATTGAGTTATATGTATTCTTTATATTGAGTTATAAGAATTCTTTATATATTTTGGATACCAGACCTTCATTAAAAATGTGTATTTCACGTATTTTCTCTCTATAGCTTGTCTTTTCATTTTCTTTGCAGTGTTTTATGTGGACCAGTTGTTTTTAAAATTTGATGGAGCCCAGTTCATCAATGTTTTCTTTTATAATTTAATGATAGCATACAAAAAACCTATGAAATCTTTGTCCATACCAAGGTCACAGAATATTTCTCCTCTCTTTTCTTCTAAGGGGGTTTATAGTTTTAGCTTCTACATTCAGGTTTATGATCCATCAGAGATCATTTTTGTTTTTGGTGTGAGGTAAGGATTGAGGTCCCATTATTTCCAATTGTATATCCAGTTATTCTAGGATCACTTATTGAAAAGACAGTTATTTTCTTATTGAATTACTTTGGCACCTTTATTAAAAAATTAATCATACAGATCTATTTCTGACTCCATCCTGTTCCATTAATCTGTATGTTTGTTCCTAGGATAATACCATGTTGTTGCATTGTAAGTCTTGAAATTAGAAAGAAAACATTTCAAACTTTTTCTTTTTTAAAGTTGTTTTTGGCTATTGTAGGTCCTTTGCACTTCCACATACATTTTAGAATCAGCTTACCAATTTTGATTGTGATTGCACTGAATCTTCAGATCAATTTAGTGATAATTATCTCACTAATTAATTATGTGATAAGTCAAATGTCTATTTCTGCTTTCAAGATTATCTTTTTCTTTTTCTTTCTCTTTGCCTTGATTAGAAAGTGTCATGGTGTGTTCATCCTTCTTACAGTCCACTGAGCTTCTTGGATGTTTATATTCATGTCTTTAAACAAATAGTCATTTTCTTTCGTCTTTGAAGGCGACCATGATTATGGCCCATTCCTTGTTCTGTCATCCATATACCCACCTGAAGGAGACTGCTCTGGGAAGCAGGCACCAGAACAAATGTAGGATTGCCAGAGTGTCATTGAGGATGGTACCTCTAAGGGATAAAAACCAAAGGCTTCAGACCACAGTGCAGATCTGACATCTTTTAAGAACGGGGAGAAGAGCCTCAGGCCCTGGTGCATCTCTGAGAAGTCTCATCCAGCCCAACAAGGGGCGTTGGCACAATGATAACCTGTGGAGGAATTCCATGTTAACAGGAATGGAGGCCGTAATATCCCCTCCATGCTCAGTCATTCACTGGGAGCTGCCTGGGAGGAGTATGGCCAAGTTCTTCCTTGAAGGAGATATTAGTGGTGCACGTCCATGTGGCTTTCTGTATCATTGAATTCTTGACAGTAAAGAAGATTCTTAGAAAATAACTGGTTAATACACCTCCCTCTATGGTAGTTGTTTTCAATGACATTCTGGATAAATGAGTATCTGTCTTACTTTAAAACATATTCAGAAAAGATCATACAGTCTTCCCTAATGTTTAATATTAAGTACCAGAAATTTTTTCTGTGCTAATCTCAGTCAGCTGTGATATAAACCAATTTTCTTTTCCTTGTCATTAAGACTTGAAACATGTGAAGAATTATAAGATAATGAAGCTTTATATTGACTAATGATCCTTTCACTTATTTCTGTGAAATAAGTTGGAATGGGTTAATGAGGAACATTGTAAATAAATCTTTCTTCTCTTTTTTTTTAATTTATTTTTATTTTTTATTTTGGTATCATTAATCTACAATTATATGAAGACATTATGTTCACTAGGCTCCCCCCTTCACCAAGTCCCCCCCACATCCCCGTTCACAGTCACTGTCCATCAACATAGTAAGATGCCACAAAATCACTACTTGTCACCAAGTTCACAGTCACTGTCCTTCAACATAGTAAGATGAAAAATATGGAACGCTTCACGAATTTGCATGTCATCCTTGTGCAGGGGCCATGCTAATCTTCTCTGTATTGTTCTAATTTTAGTATATGTGCTGCCGAAGCGAGCACCTTTCTTCTCTTTAAAGGTGTTTACAAGTAGAAGTCTTTAAAACTAGAAAAGTTGCTCAGTGTATAAGTAATCAATTTTATTTAAATAACCTTCTAAAGTCATTTCTTAAAGAAAGAGGAAGTAAATAGTTGGATTTTTGCCTTTAAGAGCTCTCACTTCAACTTTCATGAGGAAAAAGCCTGAAGTGCCTTTGACTGTGTCTAGCAGCCCGGCAGTGGTGGTATCAATGAGTATTAGCTTAAGAATCATTCTCAGCAGAGGAATGCAGTTAACTGAGTGCTGTAATCAATAGGTAAGGAATAACAGCCATTTCCCATGAGCTTGTTTCCACACCTTGACCTTTCTTTTCTTGACCATGCTTTTCTTGGCACAGTTCTTCAGTTTTAGAGAGACACATGAGTGCCTTATGCAGTCATTCCTGATCTCTGGCTACTTTACTTTTTGTTTCCTACAAAAAAAGGAGTAAAAGGATGAAAACTAAGATTTGAGTGCCTACAGAGTTGTAGTGACTCTGCTGTGGGTTTGATGTTATGCATTTGGTGTTAACAGGAAATTCTGGAAGGTGGGTATTGTTTACATTCTTTACAGATGAGGAAACCAGAATCACAGATTCATAAATGTGGAACTCAAGATTTTGACTTTCAACTGACTACAAAACCCGTGTTTTTGCCACTGTGATTTTCATACCGTGTTTCAGGGATCCTTGATGTTCCACAGATACAGAACTCCAGGTCTTCTACCTTCACATCAACCAGAGGAACTTCTGCTTTGGCACACTCTGAACACAGTTTACCCATAAGAATTCTTTTGAAAATAGATGGGAGGGAAGAGTCCTGTGACTTAAAAGGACAAGTAATTTAGAAAACTGCTGTCTTAAATCAAGAATGATTTCTTGAGTGATTTCTTGATATCTCCTCAAGATGTGACTGTGGGCCTTGACCTTTTCTATATACAGACAGATTTGTCATTAAATAGACCATCTTAATGCTGCTAATATGCATGTTCTCAGAGAAAATGCTTAAAACAGAAGTAATGCTAGGTATCTGGCAGGAATAATAATAGTTACAACATACTGAGCATCTGTCATATGCCAGTATCTGGTCTAGGTGTTTAACCACAACTTTGTGTAATCCCTGCCAGCCCTCTCCAAGGTGGTAGGGGTATTCCTAGTGCATTTCTGAGGGAACTTAAAGGAACTTGAACAAAGCAAGAGGCAGAGCCAGTAGTTGTTACAGATTAGTATGGCCCTGGAGCTGATTTTCTACATCATACCAGCTCTTGTGAGGATTTAGAAAGGAGATTTATATGGATGCTTATTAAATTCATGAGTGAGGGTGTGTGCTATAGCATGCCCAACACTGAGCATGTAGTGCTGGGGGTGATGGCCAGGCAGTGTTGCCCGCTCTACAGTGATGGCATCCCCATCTAATTTGACTGTGTCTCATAGGGGAATGGCAGTAGCATTTATCATACTGTGCTTGGGAGGCACAGTTTGGATCAGAGGATTAGGTGATTCCCACCTTTCATATAGTAGAACATAGAAAGTGGAAAATTCTGAGCTGTTTCACTGTTCTCCAGGGTCGTCGGTGGCTGCCCTATGCCGAGGAGGCCATTCCCTAGCAAGTTCATTAACCTCCTCTTGGTTTTCCACTAGCTGACAGGTAAGGTAGCTTCCCTTTAGCTTCCCGGAGGTCTCTATGTACCATTGCTCTTTTCTTACATTATGTGCTGCTCCTTTCCTGTTTTTTTCTGTGTTAAAATGTGGTCACCAGTCTCATGAAGCACGTAAGTTGCCTAAATGCATAACTATATTTAGTATGCCACAAATTAACAATAATTTCAAATATATATTCTTTTGAAAAGCTATCTTTTCAAAGCTATACATTAGAATACATGATATTCTAATGTTGAGAAAACACAAAGGAAATTAGGGAAATTTTCATTTTTAAGAGTTGAATGTTTCCTGTACTTTGCATGGAGCATCTCAGGTGGTGTAAGGGTGGGGCTAAGGAGACTCTTGCCTTGAGTGTTGACTACATCCTCATGTCATGTGCAGATGTACAGGAACGTTCACCAGTGCATATGGTAGCTGATGAAGAGGGAGAAGCTGCTCTAGGTGCTAAGAAGTCAACATGATTTTTAACTAGGTCTTTGTCTATACCACTGGGCAGGAGGATTTGTAAAAGCTATAGTCGGGTTTTAACATCCGTTTTCCCAATAACATTCCCCAGTCTTTCCAGCTCATCAGTTTGGGATTGCTATTCTTGTTTTATTGATAGTAAATATGTAAAAGGCAAATTACTGATAATTAACTTTAAGAACTAATCAATTTTTTAAGTGTAGTTTAAATTAATATATATTTGGAGGTAAAATATGAATCTAGTAGCACAAGGAAAGTAATGGAATACTTTTCCCCAAACTTTAATTAGCTGGAACTCTTTGGTGAATCAATCTTTCCTTTTCTTCAGCCTAAATAATTATTTTTATATCTGAATTAAAGTTTCTTTTGAACCTTTAGTTTCAACATAAAGTTTCTGTTGAAATCTGTGAATAAAAGTAATATCAGTGTTGATGTGTTCTATTTCCAAATTACATCTAAATACTCATAAACTTATTTTGCATATAATTTTGTTACTGGGCCAATCAACAATAAAAGGTGACTTTTGAAAAGTTAAAAAAAAAAAAAAAAGAAAGACAAATTAGCAGCTTGATTAGCTCAAAACAATCAGGATTCTGTAGTATATTTTCTAATACTTGTTTTCTTTGCTTCAGCTGCCAAACAGTAGCAAGGGCTCAAACACATAATAAAACAACTCTGCAAAGGAGCTAAGACCAGATATGTGGTGAGACTTGTTGGTAGGGGGAGATTTCAGGGATGTAGCATCAAGGAAGGACATTTAAGGCATATAGCTTATCTCCAGTATTTCTAGAATGACACATGCATATATGTATTTTAACCAGTGATTTATTTGGGTTAAGTTTCCCCTCTTAGAGCCTGAGTTATCAGTAATATAGGAAGACAAAAGAGAAACCAGTATGAAAGGTCAAGAGACAGTGAAAGTGTAAGATTTGAATGAGGTAAGAAATAAAAAATCATTTTCAGTTACTTTTTCTAATACAGGTAAAACAGACTTCATAAGAATGCCTAAAAATTACTGAAAATAGACAAAACATGAAAATACACCCTCAAGATGAGTAGATCTACATCCCAGGATTATGTTAGTAGTTACAGAAAGCCTTCCCAGTGGTTTGTCAGAAAGAGCACATTAAAAATGTATTTAGGATAAACTAGTGGGTTGTAATTGGAAGGATAATTTAAAGGTATTGTTTCACTACAGAATAAATGTGAACATTCAGAACAAGCCAGTGATAATATAAACTGCCATTTACAGAGCACTTTTTGTAAGTGAGGTGCTCCTAAATGCTGAGGCATCATCATCCCTGTTTTTCAGAAGAGGAAACTGATGCCAAGTTAACTAACTGGCTCAGGGTCCCACTGGTGGGACAGGCCAATCCAAATATGCCATTAGTTCACTTGACAGATACTTTCTGACAGTGGAGAAGGGTCTGTAGCTTGATGATAGTATTATGGCAATTGGCTTGATTCTGTACATATACTAACCTGCATTTTGACCTCAGTTTAATTTCCTAATAGGTTTTTGTACAAAAGAGAAAATGCACTTTGGCAAGTCTGAATAAAGTAGGTAGTAAAAGTAAGACTTCTCAGTTATATTTAGTTTGAATTCCCGTGTTGCCTGTGTGATCTTGAGCAAATTACCTAATATATCTGAGCCTTCACTATGTTCTCTGTAAAAAGAATATAGTAATAGTTCCAAATTCATACAGGTCCTGGGGAAACAAAAGGAGATAATGCATGTCTGACATGTGTGGTAAACTACTAACTAAATAATAGCTGCTGTCACTATTATTGCAATTATTATTATCATCAGTTAATTAGCTAAGATTTCAACAAGACCTTATATTTGGTAAGTGCTTAAAATTTACAAAATGCTTTCAAAATCACATTTTACTTCTATTCTGATGGCTATACCGTAAGTAGGACTAAATATTACCTCCATTTTACAGTTGAGAAAACAGGTTCAGAGAGAAGTACATTATCTCATGAGCTATGATACCATGAACTAGTTTTACCAGCTTCATATCTCCCCTGGATGACTTTATAATTGAGTTAGGCAGGAAATTATTTTCAGAATTTATCAGAAACATGATTATTGTATATAGAATTAATTACATAAAATGCTGTTTGCAGATATTGAAAATGAGCCAAGAAACAATTGACATTTGAAAGTGAGTTATCAGAAGAAAAAGAAAGGAGAAAGCAATTGACATCTGATCTTAATACTGTACAGAAGGCTTTGAAAGTTGAAAGTGAAGTATCTTGCTATTCAGGATGTTATTTTCCTCTTTTTGCATTCCTAATTTAAGGATTTCATGTTATCATTTATTTTGATTTTAAAATAAAGTATAGCTATAGAATATGTGTTTCTATAGGTAATAATGGGGTAGCCGTTGTTGCCTCAAGATGAGTTCGAGCCCTCGCCAAGAGTTTTTCCAGTAGCCTGTGTTTGATTATCATGGTGGTCATAGAGTCTGCACTTGTCTCTTCTTTTAACTGCTTATTCTACCATCTTGGAAAGGTCGGTCAGGAGATACAGCCAGCCTATATTTGGAAGAGAAACCTGGAAGCAAGTTCATAGAAGTCTAGATTACTAGTTTAGGGGACAGCGACATTTAATCAGTTGGCAGAGTGGGTGGAAGCCAGGGTAGTGCCTCAAAGCCCATCCTGATAACATACAGAAATTCTCAGTGAAATGAGGGAGGGAATGGATACCACTTGCCTTCTTCCTGTAGCTTTGGATGGCCATTCCCTACCTTCTCTACTTGCCAATGCCCTTATTGGCATTCTCCTGCTCTTCCAATTTCAAGGCTTTGGGGAAAATACCAAGTAGCTCCTCTCCTCAAGTAAATTTGTTATTACCTGTTTCCCTCGCAGGGCACCACAGACTGACTTTCAGACCCCAGTGCGTATTCCCACTGCATATTCCATATTATCCATGTACAAATTTGATAAAAAATCTACATCTAACTAAAATGTTTTCTCTCATAAGTATAGAAAAAAAATCAGAGGATAAGAGTGAACTCTAGTTGATTCGGTCACTGATAATACATTAAGTAAGGAGCATAATATGTAGATAAGAACACAGAGTTTCTGTTAAGACAGTTTAAATCTCAGTTTACCACTTCCTGGCTATGTGAACCTAGTCAGGCCACTTACACTTCTTGAGCCTGTTTTAATAACTCTGCCTCATGGGGTTGTCACAAAATTAAAGGTAAACCACATAACACATTGTTCTATAAAAGGTAACTTTAGAGAGGATACTTTTAAAACAGGTAATGTAACTTTAATGCAGTCATTGCTGAAGAATGACTCTAGAAACCCAGTCTTTCAACCTGTGAATGACAGAATCTAAGAATGCTCAGTTTAATTGATTTAGGTAAACTTTGCTTTAACTACTAAGAAAGGAATCTATCTGCCAAAAGAGTATGTTGGAATACATTTTTTTAATGTGTGAGTCATCTCAAAAATTCCATTTTAGAAATATTTTACCTTTTATTGGGAAAGTTTCATTTTTTTCTTCATTTCTTAATCAGGAATTGCAAAAACCAAAGTCAGAACATACATGCTTTTATAATGAAATTCAAAGTCTTCCAGGGGCAGCAGAACACAGAGCCCATTTTTTAAATACGTATGACCTGCTACAAAGAGAGAAAAGGTAAGGCTGAATCATTAAGTATTCAAATGTTCAATATTTGACATATATTTATGCAGATAAATAAAAAGAAATTAATTTTCAGTAAGAGATGACTTGGGAATTAGAGTTTTTTATCATTATAGACTAAATTGCCATATAGTGTGGGCTATCAGCCAAGCTGTATTTCAGAATAAATATTCAGACTTCAACCAGTACTTCACTCTTGGGATTAATCTGTGATTTTTTTTTTTACTTTACATCAACCTAATTTTTGTAACACACATTATAATGTAACAGGTTTACTTAAAAATAGAAGTTCCAAATGACCCAGCAATTCCGTTTTTGAGTATTTGGACACCTGTGTTCATAGCAGCATTATTCACAACAGTTAAAACATAGAAGCAACCCAAGTGTCCATCGATAGATCCACCAACAAATTGTGTCATATGCATACAATGGAAGATTATTCAGCTTTAAAAATTGGGAAGGAAATTCTGTAAATGTCCTCACCCCAATTTGTTCCCCAAGTTAAAAAAGTGGTTGCCAGACCAGGATTAGTCCAACACTAGATGGAGAGGTTACCTGTGGTGTAACTTCTAGAGTCCCACCTATCAGGTTATCACCAACTCCTCGTTGAAAATTCCCTTCCCCGGTCACTCTCTTGATCTTGATTAAGATGGTAGGAAGGAGTAAAGGCTTGAACACAACAGTTAAAATATATTGGGTTATATTTTAATACCACATGTGAAGGGTATTAAACACTCAATCAAGGACTCAATCAAGGACTAATTTATCCTATGTGAAGTTGTTACTCTGAAAGCAAGAAGCAAGTTGCTGAGTGATTGAGACATGGATCAAATTATATGTGACCTGGGAAGGAGAGGTCCAGAAATGGGGCTTGTTACCTATGAGGGTAGTTATATAAGGCTCAGCCTATAACTAAGCTTTGTTTGTGAGCTTTCATCAGCAATATGAGTTATCACACTCTACAATTAAAGGATCTTTGGAAATATCATTGGAAAATTTAACACAGAATATGAACTGAGGATAGAAGAAGGATACAGGAACAAGAGATCCAGATCACTATCTGGTAATCTGGCACTCTTTCGCTCTATCTCTTTTTAAAAAAACACACAACTTTTTGTCTTGAAATAATTTCAGACTTCCAGAAAAGTTGCAAAAATAGTACAGAGAATTCCCATATACCTTCATCCCTCTACATGTTAACATGGTACCAAGTTTGCTTTACCTTACTCTCTGTCTCTCCACCCACACACATGCACACTTATTATTATTTTTATTTTGGTATCATTAATATACAATCACATGAGCAACACTGTGTTTACTAGATTCCCCCTATTATCAAGTCCCCACCCCATACCCCATTACAGTCACTGTCCATCAGCGTAGTAAGATACTGTAAAGTCACTACTTGTCTTCTCTGACATGCATACTTATTTTTGAACCATTTGAGAGTAAGGTAGAGACATAACCTCTCATTCCTGAATGTTTTCATGTATGTTTGCTAAAAACAATGACATCTCTTATATTCCATAATATAAATCTCAAAATCAGGAAATTAACATTAATGTAATACTGTTATCTACAAAGTGTGTTCAGATCTCACCAACTGTCTCACTTGATAATAAAAGAACAGTTTTTTCTAGCCCAAGATCCAATCCAGGATCACACATTGCACTTAATTGTCACCTCTCTGTAGCTTCTTTAACCTGCAACAGTTCCTCTGTCTGTTGTTCATGACTTTAATAATTTTGAAGAGTATCGATCATTCATTTTGAAGAATGTCCCTTAATTTGAATTTGTCTGATGTTTCTTCACAATGTCATGCAGGTTACATATTTTTGTCAGGAATACTAGAGAAGTAATGTTGTATCATCTCAGAGCATTATATATCTCAGTGCATGCCTATGTCTCAGGACAAATATGGTATCTTTTGTTCTATTACTAGTAATGTTAACTTTGATCATTTGGTTGAGGTAGTACCCAGCAGATTTCTCCACTGTAAAGCTATTATTTTCCCCTTTGCAATTAGTAAATATCTTGTGGAGAGATACTTTGAGACTATACGTATTGTTTCCCATCAACTTCACTCATTAAAAGTTTCTGTTTTGCATCTTTTGTTACATTCCAGTTTACCCTCAGAACATGGAGGACTTTAGACTTAGTGGTAGTCTTACTGAGAGTGGCTAAACATTTTCTATCTTGTATATTTACTAATGCCCCTGTTCTATAGGTTATCATTTTGTTTGGGTCACAATACCTAGACTCATAGTCACAGAATTTTAGAGTTGGAGCAGGTATAATCATGTAGGCCAACCCCCTCAATTTACAGGTAGGAACCTTGAGGCTTAGAGATATTATATTACCGCCAAGTTGCATGGTTATTCTCAGCCTAAGCTCTGTCCTCCATACCCTAGAGCCTCAAGCAGAAAGTGGATCAACTTAATACTTTATGGTACTTAAACACAGCTATTACTAGATTGAACTGTATCACTAAGATAAAATTTCAGTAGGAAAGAGCCTGTGAAACAGAGTTGCTCCTGTTCTGTAACATCTGTGTCATGGAAGGTCCTGTGGATTTAGATTTCTTCATGATAAAGAGCTTCTGCCCACTCACAGTCTGCACCAACTTTGTCATGTGAGAATACAGAATATCTAGAAAACACTCAGTATTGTGGTCACTATCCTCTTCAGAAACCTCTAGCAATTCTTAATTTGTTATAATATCCAGTCTAAATTCTGTTTGGCTTTCTTTACTTCTCAAGAAACTGGCGTTTATTATCTGTAATGTTTAAGTTTTTACAATGACCATAACAATCAGTGATTAAGAAGCATTTGGGAATCTTTTTTCCTGCTTACAAAAGTAATGTAAGCCTCTTAAAAAAAACTCATGTGTTTCAAATCCCTTCATAATGTGAGGCCTCCCCTCAGTCTTGCCTTATCCCCTCAGTTTTTCATCTCGCAACCTCTACCTAGTAAGACCAGCCTCTGTGGTGCCTTTGAACATGCTGAAAATGTGCTCTGGTTTTTTCTTCACCTATCCACATCTCCCAAGGCCTAGTTCAAGACCAACCTTGCCCTGGAGAGGTTATCATCTGTATGAGATTATATGGCTTTATAAGATTATTGTCCACCTCACTCAGGGTAGCTTTTCTTCAGAGAATTGAACAGGCTTAGGAAAACAAAGAGATCTCTTAAAGTAACTTCAACTGACCTTCATTAAACCCATTGTATCCTTAGAATTTAACATAGCTACTATAGAAACTGCATTTTCAGAGAGGCTCAGAATGGGCATCAGGCAGGTGGTTTACCATGGTGCAATACTTTGATGGAGATCCATTTTCCACTCTTTAAACTATCCTCACCCACCCTTTCCACTTCATTCAGGAGATGTTCTTTCATTTTATATGAAGATATAAAGGGCAACCTTTGAGGAAAGGAATCTGCCTGTCAAAACAAACAAACAAATAAAAAACAGGAAAACCCTGAAGAAATGTTTTGCCAAATCATACAACAGAGCAGTGCCTGTCAAAGCATCCACTTGCATCAGAATTACCTGGGAGACTTATTGAACGTGCAAATTTCCATTTCCAGACCTCTGATTCTGAATTGTGGGTATGGAACAGCAATGTGACACTGTATTTTTTAACTCCTCAGGTGATATTCTTCTGTGCTAAAGTTTGAGAACCACTATGATATTCCAACAACCTTTACACATTCAACTGTTTCCAAACAAATAGGATCAGACTAGGGTGAATTTGTAAAGAATATCTAATATTCTTTCTAATGTTTTCTTGCAGCAATACCTATTGCTTTTATGCATCAAAAAGTACATTCAAAACTTGAGAACAAAAATGTGTGATAATAGTGTAAAACTCTATAGAGCACATCATTTTACTTGTTAAAAGCTAGAACAAAACTCTAAATAGCACTGTAGAAGCCAACCCGAGACCAGAAATACCCTTTTTGTAAAACCATGGATATATGCACCCTTATGCCTGCAATAAAAATGGATTCGATTTTTAATACTGCAAAGCATTACATTAAATTGGAAGAAAACTTCAATTGGGATGTCAACTTATATTAAGTTGATAGTTACTTAAGCATTTAATGGAAACAATATACTTTTTCATAGTTATACATAAGACTATGCAAAATAGGATATTTGTCTTGACTTTACAGGTCTTGAAGATTTCACAAAAATTTGAACAATTAAATAATTTTATTGTAGGGAGAAAAGCAGCAGTTTCTAACTTAATTACAAGTGAAAATATATATAAAAATCTTGTGTCTGAAGTACCAATTTTGGAAGTAGAGATTCAAAGCCCAAAGGAAGAGAGAGAGGAACTCTGGCAAATAGAGAAAAATCCATATCACATTATTATTTGGGAGGGGGGTACATTTTATTTGACTTGATAATTGTTAGAATTTGCCATCCATTTCCAGTTGATGTGAGTAAAAAAATTAGTTATAAACAAGCATTCCCCAGAGTTTGTCTTTTGCTATTACATTTTAAAACTTTTCCCCTGCTTTTAAAAATAAATTATTCTTTTTATAGAAAATTTGGAAAGCATGGAAAAGTCTAAGGAGGAGGTAATAACCCATAATTCCCACCAGGAAGAGATGTTAACGTTTTAATTTTTCTTTCTTGTCTTTTTTCTATACTCATACATATATAAGGTTTTTTTTTTATGTAATTGAATTATACTCTGCAAAGAGGTTTTTTTTGAGCTATTTTTATTTAACACTGCATCTGATAATTGTTTTGAGAAACTTTCTTTCCTCCTTCCTTCCTTCCTTCCTTCCTTTCTTGTTAATCTTTCCCTCTAACTCTTATACTTCTCCTTTTTTACCAAAAGCATCTTTCATGGAAACTTCTGAGGCTTTCGGCAAATGCATTGCCCAACTCTGGCACAAAAACTAATAGACGCAGTCAAACTTTGTCTGGGAAAAAAACCTAGACCTGGATCATCGGAAGGAAGCAATACATGTCAGTTTTGACTTATGGACCATAGGAAAGGATACATCATCAATGCACTGGGAGAATATGGTCTGTGTATATAGCAAAATCTATCTCTTTGTAAATGTTTTAACATAAAAGAAGATTGTTTTGCCAGTTTGTGATCCCTGAATTTATCCCATCATAAAAGTTGCTTTTAACTTTAGAATTAAACTTTAATTAACTTTTGAGCTCTTAGTTGAAGATTCACAGCAGGAAACCCAGTTGCAGGTGTGAGAGAGCGTCCTGGACAGAGGTGGGGTAGTGCGACGGCGGTCACGAGAGCAAAGAGTCAGGAAGCTAGGGCACAGCATCAAGTTTGCTGTAGGGAAAATAGAAAGTCTAGTTCTTGAGCACTGGAATAATGTATTACAGGATGTTTGAGGGAGATTGTTGTAGCATATCTGTATTAGATTTGAAAGTAAAAACAGACCAATTAATCCAGATATGAGCCGCAGATGATAGATAGTGGCTTACACTGAGTAGGTGGCAATGGAGATGAAATGGCCAGTCTAAGTGCTCTTCAGAGAAGGAACTGACATTAATGATCAAAGATGGGGCAATTTAGGGGTGCTTGCCAATTTAGGGGGCAAGGCTGTGGCCTTAATTCACTTGGAAATGGGGAACCTTGCTGTGGAAAAGATACTGGACTTCTATAAAGAGCTCCTTGCTGTCACCTGTTTCCATGACTTGGACCAAACTACTTCCTGTCACTGGGACTATGAGAAGTCTACGTATCTGCCCTATGCTTCTCTTGCTTCTCTTCTGATGATATGTTTCCCTGCTTGCTTATATCCTGTGTCCCACTTGACAGCCTCCACTTATCTCAGATCCATTACCCAATCACGTTTAACAATAAATTGCATATCTACCAAGTGTCAGGCACTGGGTAGATACTGAGGATACAACATAAGACATAGTTCCTATCTTTATGATCCATTTAGCCTGATGGGAAAATATAGGCAGTTAAATAAAGCAATATTAGATACTATGGGACCACAGAGAAGGGGCCCTGGCTAATAAACAAGCAACATTTTTAAAGGAAGTGACAAATTGAGTCTTGAAGTATAAGTAATCAAGGACAAAGCAAAAAGATGGGACTAATTTTCAGGGGTGAAATGACATGTGCAAGAGAAAGCATGATTTGTTTGAGGAACTAAAAGCAACTTCACTCCTGCTACTGAAGAGAAGGAACAGGAGAGGAGACAGTGAGAAATGAAAAAGTAGGCAGGGACCTGATCATGAGGGACTAGTGATGCCTGCTTTAGGAAGTTTGGACAATAGGAAAAACTACCACAGGATTTAGTAACATCAGAAGACAAAAAACAGATTTATGCTTCAGAAATGTCACTCTGCCTACTGTGTGGAAAATGGACAGTTGGTATAAAAATGAAGGTAATAAGACCAATTAAGAGGCTGTTACTGTGTTCTACGTGACAGGTGGTGGTGTTTGTGGGGTTAGAGAACAGTGGATGGAATTGAGAAGAGGCAGAATCAATGGGACTTAGGGACTAATGAGTATAGGAAGTGAGGAAGAAGGGGTGGTAGGCCCAGAGTCAGATTTCGGGAAGACTAGGTTAGAGAGTGTTTCAAGAAGAAAGGAATGCTTAATTGTGGCATGTACTGACATGAAGTCAAATAACAAATAAAAAGTGACTACTGAACTTAGCAATAAGAATGTAGTTGAAGACTTTAACAAGAGCAGTTTGGGTGAAGGGAAGAAAACAGATTGTTCTCTGAATCCCGCCAGTGGAAGGGCGAATGGCAGTGAACTGAGGAGTGGGTGGGGACTGAGGAAGTGGAAATGGTGAGTGTGAGTAGTACTTTCCAAGAAGTTTGGTTGTGAAAGGGAGGAGAGAATGTGGAACTGAGGTAAGAGGAAATGTGTGTATGTTTAAATGCTGATGGGAAAGAGTCTCAGAATGGACAGGTTTGGGATTCAGAATACCAGAGGAGGGACTAGCCCTATTCCGGAGGTAGGTCTCCTTGTCTATTGTAACAGGAGGAAGAAAGGGAAGATGGACAGAGACTGAGTGAGTCTTTAACTTGAGAGAAAAATTAAAAGACTTACTCCATGGTTTCTGTGTCTTCTGTAAACTAGGAAGCAAAGTCATCTGCTGAAAGTTCATAGTTCATAAGAGAGTGAAAAAAGTTTGAAAAAAATCACTGTTGGAGAATGGAGAAGAAAGGTGACTAGGAAGGGCAGGTAGTGCTGAGGGCCCCGTTAAGGCTAAAGACCCAGGATTTATATGGCATCTGTCTTTGACAATATGTGATATTCTTTGTCAATATTTAGTGTAGGCACAAGAAGGCAACTGGATTGAAGGTTAAGGTTTTGCCACATGAGTGAAGTGGAAGGATAGCAGGGCAAGAGAACTGGATGTTTTAGACAGTGATTAAAGTAATGAACTCTAGATTCTACATTGGGTAAAGAAGCAAGTAAAAGGAGCTGATAGAAAAACACGAGAAATTGAAGGTACTTATGACTGCATTGAGAACAAATTATGTGAAAAGAAAAGGTGGAATCCAGATACCTAATGTTAGTATTTCAGAATGAAGCAGTAGATATAACCCACATGTGGTTATGCGAGCAGCTGGCCCAGTGTGAGAGATGAGAAGGTAAGTGGAGCTAAGGAGACTGAGGAAGTGAGATGCCAAGGTGTTGGTGGGTGATGACTATGGACCTTGGAATCTTCTGGGATGATGGCAGGACTTTGGGTGAAGAAGACACTAGAAAGCTACGAGCCAAAATCTTCAACTGAAAGGAAGTAGAAAGCTTTACAACACACCTCTCCTGGTCCTGTGCACACAGAAGCTGCTCAGTAAGCCAAGTTGACGGAGTCTGGCAGTACATCTCTTCTAATTTTAAGCACTTCTTTAAGGTAATGGACTCTGTCTTATTTTTCTGTTTATAGTGGGTTTTGTTACAGAATCTTAGAATAGGAGAAACCTACAGGAGATCCTCTAGCCTAGTAGTTTCAAATTTCTACCTTCCATAACTTGAGGGTCGCTCAGAAACTACCTTGGGAGATGAAGAAAGATCAGTGAGTGGGACCCATTTCAGTTAGGGATCCACTTTTATCTGTTTCATACGTGGAGTTCTGTGTAAGATTTTGTCTCAAGAAAGCATCCACAGCTAAAATAAGTTTGAAAACTGCAGACATTTAGCTAAGTCTTCCTTTTTCACGAAAGAATTCTCTGAGACCAAGGAAACTAAAATGACTCTTTCAGTCATAATCACGTACTTAGTAAATTATCAACAGGACTGGGTGAGGTCCCAAGTCTCCTAACTCTGAGCTGGAAGTTACCACTTGATCTGCTTTGGAGAGGACATAGTCACAAATATCACAAGGGCAAGAAGGTGAAGGGGCATATGGATTCTAGGTCATTCATAATGAAAATTTGCTTTATAGTGTTAAAAATATTGCTCAGGATTCAGCCTCTATATATGCATGACATGGGGATGGTAAGATTAGAGGAAGAATGAAGCCTAATCTATCTTGTCCTGGACCATCTATACCTGACACATAGTAGGTACTCAAAAAATATTTGAATGAGTGGACTTTTCCCCCTACTCCCACTGTGTAGTTGCAGCTTAACCCAAAGTTGAACTTCCAATGGCAGCCTCAGGCTAAACAGAGCCCACCCGATCTCGGCCTGGATTTTACTTTATTAGGAAACTTGGACCAGAAAAGCTGGTCGCCTCCCTTGACTGTAATGCCTTATGAGCTATATTTTTTCTAACACACTCATTCATCATTTCATTGCATCCTTACTACCTTTATCAAGAATTGTTTGATAAATATTCAAGTTGGTTTTCATTTCCAGTTCAACTTGACAGTGAATTTATATCCATTTCACAGACTTCTGATGTATTTTTCCTCTTGCTCTAAAATAGTCCTTCCCCAGTCCAGTGAATAGCCCCTCCATTCACACATTTGATCAAATGAAACCCTAGGAATCACCTTTCATTCCTCCCCACGTCTAACCCACCAACAAATCCTGCTAGTTCTACCATGAAAATATAAAATATTCAATCTATGTATTTCTATCTACACTGCTACTACCCTACTTCATGGCCCTCACTCAGACTCACAGTATCTTCCTAACTGGCCTCCCTGCTTCCATACCTCTTTCCCAGTCTGTTCTCCATGGAGCAGCCAAAGTGGTTTTAAGAATGCATACTGAATAATACTATTCCTTCTTAAAAACCTTTCAGTGGCTTCCCATTGCACTTAAAATCTAGACCCTCACCAAGACGATAAGGCCCTCTGTGACTTACTGGCCTTTGTCTACGTCTCCAGTGTCATCCCTGTACCATTCTCTGCCTTGTTCATCATGCAGCCTTGCAGA